TTTTGAAAGTTGTTTATAATGCACTTCCTGTTTACTTAGGTAATATTAAATCCTTCTGGAGTCTTTGATGGAGTTGAAGAATATATAGTTATGTCTTTCTTTAGTTATGATAAAAGATAAAGTAGAGGGGGCTGGAGAGATGGCTCAGAGGTTAAGAGCACTGACTGCTCTTCCAGAGGTCCTGAGTTCAATTCCTAGCAACCACATGGTGGCTCATAGCCATCTATAATGAGACCTGGCACCCCCTTCTGCCTTGCGGGCACACATGGAAGGAATGCTGTACATATAATAAATAAATATTAAAAAAAGATAAAGTAGATACAAATACTGTAAATGTAATTCTTGCTTGATACCTGTTTTGTTATAGGCAATTACTATGTTAAAGTTAAAACCTTCCTTTTTATTTAAATAGAAAAGGGTAGGTGATGTGGGATTCCCCTCTGTATGCTGTGATTACCGTTGACTAGGAAAGAAATTGTCTATAGCCTGTGTAGGGCAAAATAGAGTTAGGTGAGAAAAACTAAACTGAATGCTGGGAGAAAGAAGGCAGAGTTTGCGAGACATCATGTAGTCCCGCCAGAGACAGACACCTGGCGGAATTTTATCTGGTAAGCCATGATCACATGGCAATATACAAATTAATAGAGATGATGTTAAATTAAGATATAAGAGTTAGCCAAAAATATGCTTAAGCTATTGGCCAAACAGTATTGCAAATAATATGGTTTCTGAGTGATTATTTCAGGGCTTAGCAGCCAGGAACAAACAAGCAGCCTCCTACAATACATTCCCACCACCCTGTTCCCAGCCTCACCCTCCTCTCATCCTAGGATCGGTGTCCCTTCTCATGCCTCTCCACATGCAGAATGCAGCTGCCATCTTTCTCAACTCAAGTCCCATACTGAAAGTCTTTTCTGGTCACCACCCCCAGGGCATCACCCATCATGGGGCCTTGGGTTGGAAAACACTTGCCACATGTGTGCCTATTGACACCGGAAACCAAAGATCTTGGGAAACATAGTTGCTCTCTATGGTGGTTGGTGTTAGTTATCAGCCTGACACAGCCTACAGTCACCTGGAAAGAGTTTCAGTGATGGATTGTATGTATCAGGTTGGCCTGTGGGCATGTCTGGGGGATTGCTGTGATTATGAACCGTGTGACATGACAGAGCCTGAAGGTGGGTATCAGCCCACTTTCTGGGTTTGGTTGTTGAGTTATACATGAATGAGTAGAAAAAGCTACTGAGCAGTGGGCATGTAGACCTTTGTTCCCATTGTGTTCTTGACTGTGGGTGTGACCAGCTGCTCCGAGACCCTATCTGACTACCCACAATGACGGACTATCACCTGGAACTGCACACAGAATAAACTCTCTCTCCTTCAAAGTTGTTTTTCTCAGGGTGTTTTAGCACAGCAACAGAAGCAAAACTGGTCACCATCTCTCATCTCTGCTCACTGACAGCTGCAGACTGAAATTCCAGTGGTGGGTTCTCGCGCCTGAAGATCTTGCTGGTACCCTCAGAGCACAAGGTATAGGAGCCCTTAGCTTTATATGAAGAATCCTGGCAAGGTGTGAACAACATATGGAGGTTAATCATTAAGAAAAAACAATTGAATCCCAGTAGCCCAGCTATTTTAAATTCTTTCAACCTTATTGTCGGGAGATATGTTCACAGGTCTCAGAGTGCATCACAGCTGAAACAAAGCTTTGAAAATAACAAAGTTAGACTAAGATGCTTTGGTTAAATAACTTTGAGGTGAAAAACCCAAGAAGACAATCTAAAGTTTTAGAAAGACACATAGTTGAATTCGGAACTGGTTAAGGTTAGGGAACAAGAACAAAGCAGCCCAATCATCACTGGCTGACATACCTTTCTTGCTAGGATTGGTTAATGACCAAAGGTGATGATTAATTCCTTATACCTATTTTTATCCTTAATATTCTTATATAAAAATCTATTAATGAGTGGGTATGTACCTAAGATTTAAAGTGAGCTGATTCTTTTTTATATATAAAAGTTTAGGTTTGTGATTCCTCTATCAGATTACCTTTCAAGATGAGTAATAAAGTAACTGACCCTTTCCTTGTAACTGCAAAATGCAGCCTGCCAGTAAAAGACCCGAGAAGAATACCTTGCTTGCCCACATGTTAATCTGTAACAAGTTGCTTGGGTATGAATGTATGTGGGTTCTTGGGATAGTTTTTCACTTGTAATATGTAAAATGTTTACTCATGCAAGGGATATGGAAAACATGCTGTTTTTACTGTTTGTTTTGTATTTATTGTAATCATTCACTTGAAAAATAGAATGTAGCCACATTGTAATTCCTATATTGTCTTGTAGTGATATTTTGTTTGTAATGTAACAAATAAAGCTTACCTGAAGAAAGGAGTGCAGAGCTAAGCCACTGGTTAGCCATAGAGGCCAGGCAGTGGTACCACACACCTTTAATCCCAGCACTCAGGATACAAAGGCAGAGGGTTCTCTGTGAGTTCAGGGCCACCCTGGGCTACACTAGTTTGATCCAGTCTCAAAGAGAAACAGCCAGATGATGGTGGCTCACACCTTTAATTCCAGCACTAGGAAGAAACAGAAGTGATATGTCTGGGCAGAGAGAGGAATATAAGGCAATCTGAGAGTTCAGTCTAAGATGCATGCTGAGGATTCTGTCGGAGGATGCAGTGTGAGGCTTCATAGAGAGAGCATTCAGTCTGAGGGTTCGTGGGGACAGGGTTGCCCTTTCAGTCTGAGGCAGAGGTAAGAGCTAGTGGCTGGTTGTTCTGCTTCTCTGATCTTCAGCATTAACCCCTACATCTGAATCCAGGTGGTTCTACATTGCCTGAAAAACTGTTGTTTTGTGAGTATATAGGCTGCAGAAAAAAAGTATACAGTAGAAAGAACACATGAAGAACAAAGACTAAAAAAGGAAGCCAGTAAGAGTGTGAGTGCATTTTTCCCGTGGACTCCGTGGATTCCTTTCAAAGCCCTGTGCTGCTGGAGGCTCCCCGGCACCCCAGCAGTACAGAATTGTAACAGTCTGGGGAGGACAGAGGACTGCATTGCTACAGAATCTCATGTTTGAAGGGATGAAAAGGAGGAACTTATCATACAGAAAGATTTCCCACAGTTCTGGCAACTTATCAGACCATCCTACAGATGTGACTAGAGGAGGCATTGATGGCTTGGTGACGAGTGCGGCCTGGGCGGACTACATGCTGACCAAGACTCCTCAATATGCGCGGCCCTTGCACCTATTTAAACCTGAATCTCATGGACTGTGGAGATGCTCAGTGGTTAAACACTGGACATTCTTCCAGAGTACCGAGGTCTGGTTCCCAGCACCCACACCGTGGCTCACAGTCTTGTATAACTCTAGTTCTAGATGATCTGACTCCCTCTTCTGAACTCTGTGAATTATAGGCATGTCCATGTGGTACAGAGACATACACATGGCCAAAACATTCATATACAAAAATAACAAAATACCTTTTTAAATTTTAATCTAAACTTTATGTCAATATCTGGAAGACAGACTCTCGGGTCACTATAGCTCTTTATCCTCTTCCCAATATGGCCACATCGAGTAAATCTTTTTCTGCTTTCACTATTTCTGTCTGTGTAACTGGGGACTTACAACAGAGCCTAGCTTAATGGGCCTGAGACGGACCACACTTTGGCCCTCTGATAACAAACCTTAGGGAATAAAGGGAACCGATAATGCTACACAGTCCCAGGCTTTTCCCATTTGCTCAAGGTGCCCAGAAGCTGAGCCAGTGTTTGGACACGTCACTCCTTCCTTTTTGGGTGTCAGCAGACCATTCTGTCCTACGTGAAGGCTCCTAACACTCCAACAGCCCTATGAGACCTGAAGTTACTTCACTTAGGACGGCGCCTCAGGAATAACCAGGAAAAGTAGCACGTGCACCAAGGATGGCATTCCTGCAGGAGTCTTCCCTGCTCAGGGTGCATGCTAGAAAGTTTACTGATAGGAGAGGCTCAGCTAGGGATTTCCAGCACCCTGGAAAGAAAGGGCAGCTCTGGGCAACTGGGACTGTAAAATAACGTTCTGGAGCCCAACAGTCCTTCTGCTCGGGGGAATGGTCCTTCTGGCCAGCAGAGACCTGGAAGGCTTCTCAGCCTCAAGCAGGAAGCAGTAACATAAGAGGTCTGCACTTGCTCAAATCTTTGGCCATCTAGCTGGAGTCGGGGTCAAGGGTCAAATGGTGGTTCAAGGAGAGACACTGGGTAGGTGGAAGCACACCCAGGCAAGCAGGTCTACATGTGGAGATCTGGGGGTGGGGGTGGGTCCGTGGAGTAAGGCTACAGGCAGGACTGCAGAAGGGAGGGTCCACTTGGAGCCTCTGCAAGGGAGAGACTGATACCAGGCAAAGTTAGGCCTACGTGAGTGAGTGAGTGAGTGAGCGAGCCATCATGAAAGAGGCGACAGGAGAGGGATGCCTGGAGGGAGATGAAGGCAGCTAGCCAGTGACACAGCAGTTCTCCCACTGCACACAGACAAGCTGAAGCAATAAACCTGCTGCCTTGGTACCAAAGGAGCCTCAGTTTCCCCACCTGTGGCTTTCTAGTGGAAGATCACCTGTTCAAGCAGGGTTCTTCCAGAAGTCACTCTTCGGGTGACCAAGGTCATGTGCTGGAAGAATTAGAAAGACGCAAAGGAGGGAAGAGCTGTCTGATACTAGGGAACCCAGGGCCAGGTTGGGGCAGGGGTGAAAGGACCCATTGCTGGGGACAGTTGTCTTGATGGCAGCTGCAACCCTGGTGCGAGGAGGGTTAAGCATGTTGCAGTTCCCACCCTCCCTGAGCTGGCATGTCCTCCCACATTTACGTCTTCTGAAAAATATTCTGCCTGCAGCCTGTCTTATTTGGTGCTTCAGGCCCTCCCCTCCCCCTCCTTTGGCCCAATCCAAGAGGAAGGTCAGGGGACTTTGGGAAACGGGAAACTCCAAAACTCCGGACTCTGGGAGAAGGGTCAGTGGGGAAAGGCGGGGCTGTGGGGACCAAGAGAGAGGAGAAAGGGAGATGAGAGGGTGAGAGGGGACAGCTTCCAGGGAGCTGCTCCAGGGACCACACAGGGAAAGGCCTTGCTACAACAACAAACCTGATATTCTTCAAGGTACCAGAGAGGGCCTGGGGATTTGGGAGATGTGGGGAAGACCCGGAGGAAGGAGGAAATGGCCCAGAAAAGAGGCTATAGTGGTCATAGCCAGCAGGACTACTTGCTGGGGCTGTTGGCAGGGAACTCTAAAACTTTGCGGGCACCAGGGAACAAGGCCTTGCAGAGTAGAAAGGGCTAGTTGGATTAGTAGTGGGAAGGGGCGCCTCTGGCCCCAGGAGTAGGTCAGGGGAGAAGGTGCCCCCCACCCTCACTCCAGCTCTAAGAGCTGAAGACTACATACCGTCTTTGCAGCACCAGGACTGAGGTGGAACCATGAAGTGCCTGCTCATCTCCCTGGCCCTGTGGCTAGGCATGGTGGGCATCCACGGGACAGAGCCGGAGCTCAGCGAGACACAGCGCAGGGGCCTGCAGGTGGCCCTGGAGGAGTTCCACAAACACCCACCTGTGCAGTGGACCTTCCAGGAGACCAGTGTGGACAGCGCTGAGGAAACGGTCAGTACTGTGGCTGGCAGGGAACGGAGGGCTGAAGCCCTGGACACCAGCGATATCCAGAAAGCTTTCCTGGGAAAGGCCACCAGTCAGATGTCCTCCTAGGCTGTGCCAGTTCTAAGTTACGGTGTTTGGGGGAGGAGAACGTCACCCAGGAATTACCTGCTGGCCTTCTTGTCTATCTGTAGATCTTTTCGGCGGGCACCTTTGTGAGGTTGGAATTTAAGCTCCAGCAGACCAGCTGCCTCAAGAAGGACTGGAAAAAACCCGAGTGCAAAATCAAACCAAATGGGGTGAGTGAAGGGGCTCTTTTGATGGGACAGGCTGCCTGGGTATGAACTGGAGCCCCGAGAAGCTATGCTCCTCACTGGGGGCTGTCTACAAGGAAGAGGGAAATCTCTCCGTGGGTGGGGACTTGTCTGACTCTTCTAACAGCTTCTCTATGGAGCCTATCCTGTACACCAAGCAGGCTACAGCCAGTTCACCACGGGTTCAGTCAGCAGCCACCCTGCCGGTGACACTGCTACTATGGAGTCACCTCTGGGCTGCAGGTGCAGGACTTTGGGTTACGGTTCTTGCTTTCTAACAGCTTTGTGGGGGTCACTGAAGGTCTTGGTTCCCTTCATCAGTTAAGGCAAGGGACTGGGTTATACTGGTGATTTACAGGGCCTTTTGTTCATATCAGATCTTAAGGTGGAAACATAAATATGAGGACAAGGTGGTAAAGGCCCTTGCTGGACAAGCATGAAGACCTAAGCTTGGATCCCCAGCACCCATATGAGAACAGTCAGGCACAGCTATACACGCCTCTAACTCCTGAACAGTAGTGGGCAGAGACACGAGGATACTCAAGGCTTGTTGGCTACCAGCCTAACTCCAGGTTCAGTGAGAGATTTTGTCCCAAGGGAATAATAAAGCAGAGTGATATAGGACACCCAAATGCCCTTGCCTGACATAACACACACACACACACACACACACACACACACCCCAGAGGGAAACAGAGACAGACACCATCTGGAGAGGATTCTTGCCTTTATACATGTTTGCACATTCACACAGGCACTTGTGAATACACCCATGCAGTGTACTGCATATGAGCAGTTCACACACGCATGCTCACACAGGAGTGATCTCTGCACAGGTACTGCAGTCTGCAGGCAAGGCAGGATAGCATATACTTGAAAGTCCAGCATTGGGGAAATTAAAGCAGGTGGACCACAAGTTCTAGATCAGCCTGGGCTATTTCTTAAAGTAGTGTCCAAGTGCCCAAAGACAAGAACTTGTAAGAATCTCCCATCCCAGGGTAAGCAGCATGTCTATCTGGCTTGCACATCCCCCTGCTCCTTGGATTAGTTATATCTCTGCTGCTGTAATGAAACACCATGACCAAAACCAACTATAGTAGGAAAGGTTTGTCTTCTGGTTCCAGAGGGATAAAAGTCCATCATGGCAGGGAGACTTGGCTACCAGCAGGCATGGAAGCCAGAGCAAGAAGCTGAGAGCTCACATTCTCAAAAGCAAGCAGGAAGCAGAAAGAGTGAATTGGGAGTGGTATAAGGCTTTAAACTCTCAAAGCCTGTCCCAGTGACATACTTCCCCCATCAAAGTCAAACCTAAACCTTCCTCCAACTGGAGACCAAGTATTCAAATCCATCCACTCTAGGGATGCCAAGCAGGCCAGTCCCCACCCTGACACTCAGGCTCCCCTCACTCCTTTTTCCTTCTCTCATACTCTCCTCCCCAGAGAAAGCGGAAATGTCTGGCCTGCATCAAACTGGACACCACGGGTAAAGTTCTGGGCCGCATGGTCCACTGTCCAACAATGAGGCAAGGGCCTCAGGTAAGAAAGGTCAGAGGTTAGGGTGAGGGCTGGAGACAAACTACATGAGGGTCTGTGTGATAAGAACTGGAAGTGGGAAAGGAGAGTGGGGAGGGGGTGGCTGAGACCTTCCCCTGCGGTTGCGGTGATGCCTCTCCTCCAGGCACTGCTACAACAGACACTGGTTCTACAGGAATCTCAGGAGTCCCAGTGCAGTAAGGTAGCGCAGAGTGGCGAGGACCCCCGCGGCAACCACTTCTTCCCTGGACAGTTTGCCTTCTCCAGGGCCCTGAAACCCAAATAAGCCCCGGACAGGTAGGTTATTGGGAGGGGAGAGAGAGCCCCTGGCATAAACTGGGCTATGGGTTTTGTTTGAAACTTGAAGGAAAGCTAGTATCAAGCCAACACAACCTCCCTTACACACATCTGGTTTCCCTTCTCTAGAGCTCCACCTTCCTGAGCTGCCGTGGCAAAACCCAGTGAAGGACACCAGCTCCCAAAGATTTCATACTCCAAGCTAATAAAATTGCTGGTCTGTTCCGTCCCAACCGTGTGTTTGTTCTTTCCTCAGTCCAACCTGTACATATAAGAAAAGCTCAAAGATTTGTGTATGTGTGTCCCCACTCTTCCTTCCTGGTACCAGGAAGGAGCAGGGAGGGTGACTGCAGGGGTCTCCTACAGGACCAAAGCAGAGGTATGGAAGGCCATGCTTTTGCTGAGGAAGAGACAAGAAATGGCACAAATGAGCAGAGAACTGTTTAGTAAGAGTTAGCCGGTGGCAGGTAACATTACCCACAAAGCCTCAGGCTTGGCACTAGCGAGAGCCCATGCTCAGCATGCCTGGGCCTAGCTGCAATATTTGCCAGATAGTGAGGAAATCTCTGACACCTGCTAGAGGCCACCTAGAAAGCATGTCCCTGCTTGGGTGGAAGGAGGGCAGGAAGTGTCCTCGGGGAGATGAAGGGTAGGAGTTAGGATAAACGAATTTGCAGGGTCAGTGAGCAGAGAAAACCAGAGGCAAGGGCCGGGGGCAGGAAAGGGATGTAGGCGTCAGCATGACGCTGAGGGCACCTGGCCACGAGGCACAATCAGAAGACAAAGGAAGACGCGGTTTCTGCAGGGTTCAGAGCCTGCTGGGCCTGGGCCAAGATGTCACTGGCCTGGCGGTCCAGGTCAAGACATTCCTGCAGTGTGTCCTGAAACTGCCGGCAGGCCTCTTCCAGAATGGAGCTGCTCCTCATGGGCCAGGATTCCCAGTAGCCAGGTTCCACCCAGGGCTGGGCCTCTATGGCTCTGGGGCCTGGGCTGGAGCTGGGGCGCAAGGAGCTGTCCAGGTCTCGGCATAACTGGTACAGCTCACTGCCCTTCCCACTTACACGTTCCCCATCTATGACTCTGAGGCCAGGCAGCAGCTCTCGAACCACAGCCCAATAGGAGGGACTGGCACACAGCGGGTTGCTGAGCCGGGCCAAAGGGTCCCGGAGTCTCAGGTGCTCCAGGCCCTGTAGCCCGGCCAGACACTGCAGCTGGCCAGGAGCAGCCAGCAGGTTGCCAGCAACATTGAGGCTCTGCAGGTTTTCACAGGCCGCCAGTGGCTCCAGCCCTGTCAGCCGATTATTGGAGACATTGAGCACAGCCAACTGGCGCAAAGACGCTAGTGGGCCCAGGTGGGTAAGTGCATTCCCTGATAGGTCAAGCCATTCAAGGCTCAGGCACTCCCCCAAACAGCCCAGGTCCACCAGCCCTAAACCCCGAAGTTTTAGCAATAGGATGGAATCAAGGGCAAACTCTCCAGAGCGGGACTTCAGCAGCTGGGGTGTGATGCTCAGCACCTCAGCCTCTCCTGGCTTCTCTCCAGGAGGCTCCATGACACTGACGATTCAGATGGCCTGGCCCTGGCGGTGCTGGTATAGTCACAGGGATGTGGTATCTCTGGGCATCAGCTGGCTGCTCTCCCTCATCTCTGCCTGAGCCCTAAAGAGAGACAAACAGTCAGGTCAGCCTCTCCTGAGCATGTGTCCTGTGCTGCAGGGAACAGCAGGATGCCAGGCAGAGGGCACGAAGAAATCAGGAGTGTTAAACATGCAGGTGTGTCCCTTACAGAGCGAGACAGAGAGGAAATGTATACCTGTTTTCTGCTCAGAAGGCTGGAAGTGGAGGTGGATAATAGCCTAGGCAGCCTCTGTGCTATCTGTATGATGGAGCTCACACCAGATCCTCCCCTGGGACCTATGAGTCACTGGGGCACAAATTCCATTCTGTTTCCAATTCCTGGTCCTATGTAAGTATTTTTTTTTTTAAAAATGCATGAAACACTATGGCCCTCAAGACATACATATGGGCAGCGGGAATGTCAGCACACGCCTGTAGCTGTAGCTGTGAAGGAGCAAAGCTCCTGACACAATACTCCAAGGCTGACAACTCCTTACAGAACCCAAGCTGTTCGCGCGAGCGGCTCCATAGATCTTTAGTCTGAGCACCTCCGGGGAAGCCGCCTTGACTCATGGTGGCTACTTCACTTTTTCATGCTCGAAATCACAGTGTGCCTGTACCTGGAGCCTTTGGGGGACAAGGGCGAAGATCTCAGTTACAGGCTAACCTGGACGAAGTATTTTTAAGAAAAAAGTAGTGGAAAGGGGAACATAATTCAGTGGCAGACAGTTGCCTGGTATATGCAATGTCCTGGGTTCAAGAGTAACTAACTGTCTAGTTGACAAACTAAAGAAAACTTAGAAATATCAGCTGTAGACCTCTCCCCTGGCGTGTACAAGACCCTGGGAAGAGAAAGAAAGAAGAAAGGAGGAGGAGGAGGAAGAGGGACAAAGAGGCTTCCTGATAATCCTATTTACTCGCAAAGGTCTGCCCAGACTAACTGAGTTTGCGGTTCTTTTTGAACAAACTTTCAGGCATGTTTTTACAGAAAATGAGAAGCTCCAGGAGTGGAAGGTGGTTACCTGGATACGGCTGACAGTACGGATGGGGACCTGAAACAGTGTAATATCCAGACTCTATCAATGCCCCAGGAAAGCCATATAATCATGAAACCTACATCCTACAGATGAAAACTCTTCTGGCACCCGTTCAACCTAGACTAGGAGATGTCTCAGCAAACGATGTGTTGTCTGATTAGATTATGATGTCCTCTTTATTATTTTGCCATTCGTTCCGAGGAGCTCGGAAAGAACCTTGCCTCCTAATTCTACCCCGTTGCACTCCACAAGCCCTCTTCAGCTCAACTCACCCTGGGCATTCCAGTTCCACTGCGTACAAACTCACCTGCCTCATCTCTCTGACTTTCCACACCAGCAGAAGGACGTGCTATGGTCTCCCACGCCACCCAAGGTTTTAGCCATTTGCTGAGAGATCTTTAAAATAACACTCAACCATCTTTTAAGCTCACGCTGGCAAAAGTGACAAACAAACAAAAAAACCACGGATAGTTCACTGCTGGAAGACTACCGAAGTCATTTCCACCCATTTTTGCCCCTCTATAGGCCGCACCCCATCTTCCTCCGTAGGCATTTTTGCCATCTGCATACGTGGGTGACAAAACGTTCCCTCACCGTGAATAAATGTCAAACCCAGCCTTTCTTTCTGCCTTTCCCTCTCTCTCTCTCTCCAGCTGCTCTTTTTAAATAATCTATCACACGAGCAGAACCCTTGTCGCTGTGTATACCCAGCTGCTGTGACCGTGGGCAAGGGCGCCTGGCGACCGCGGCTGCACCCACCTCACGGGACGTTACCGGTTAAGGCGGTTCCGTCAGTAACTAATCAAAGAGGTTCCTGGCGTTGAGGGCGTGACCACTAATAGCTGGCGGTTCCGGAATGATCCGGCCTCCCGGGGCACGCGAAGAGCGCGGCGCTACTAAGCTTCCCGCGCAGGTCCGCCCATTCCGGAAGCTGCGATGGCCGGAAGGGGCGGGGATCCGTGATGGTTCAGCCGGGTGGGTTTGTCTGGCTGGGTGTGCAGTTATGCAGATACCCGACCAGAGATAATCCAGGTTCTTTGGGCTGAAAGCCACGGGCAATGGTCCCGGGGGATTTTGCTCCTGTTCGTTTGGTCACTAGTGCATGTAGCGGTGCGGCGTTACGTCATTAACGGATACGTGTTCGGTGACGTTCCCCGTGCCAGGCTGCAATCATTTTCTAATCCATTAAAATGGTGCCGGTGCGTGCTCCCCACCCGGCTCGTGGTGGTGCAATCATGCTCGCCGCTTTGCACTGCAGACCAAAAGGGCCACACAGTGACAAAAAGGACCCCTTGCACTCAGGGACGTCACCAGCACAAACTACCACCTTTGCAAATGACATTGTCCGAGAAGTCACCGTAACTGGACGCAGGGGAGAATACCTTTCTCTTACTTTGTATTCACAGGCCACTTAAGAGATTTATACATTGAAAGGCAAACTCGTTCAGGAGCTAAGATTTTCTATCTCCTAAAGCTTCTCCTGCCCTCAGACAAAGCAATTCCAGGTCAATCCACCCCTCTTTGCCTGGGCAAAATATAGACACATTTTTGTTTACGTTATTAATTTTTTTTGCATGCTATTACAGTTTTATGTCATTTGAACCTCTCTGTCATGGATCAGCCAGGTTCCATCTTAAGAAGCCATCTTGTTACAAGATCAAAATAAGTTCATTCCTGTTTTCTGTAAAACTTAAGTCTTGATCTATTTTCTGGAATTTAACATGTTCCACACTTTATACCCTGATAAGCTAAGATGTTCAGCCCGATAATTTTGAGCTGTTCTGCCAAGTTCCAAAGTCCTTGGAAACCCCCTAGCCTTGCAGTTTGGGGCTATAGAAAAAACAACAACAACTCATTTTTCCTGTGTTTGTGGTTATTCTCTCAAACCCTGCTTTAGGGAAATAGCCCTGTCTGACAGAAAATAAAGCCTGCTTAATTCGACCAGAAAATTTAGATTGTTGGTCTTTACTCTTGTTCAGTGGGATCAACACATGCTTCAGAAATGAGAGTGTTCATTTCTCCATTCTACATCACACAGCATGTTCAAGTAAGAAATGTTAAGGGAAAATTGCCAAAGAGACCTCTTAAACCAGGCAGTGGTGGTGCACACCTTTAATCCCAGTACTAGTGATCCAGAGGTAGAGAGGGGCAGATCTCTGTGAGTTCAAGGCCAGCCTGGTCTACAGAGCAAATTCCAGAACAGCCAGGGTCATTACACAGAGAAACTCTGCCTCAAAATATCACAAAACAAAATCCCTCTTAAGACAGGAAGGAAAACTTTTCAAGAAGGAACTGTCTGGAATAAAGATTTCCATGGTGGAGCACTTTCTAATGTAAGGCCCTGGCTTCCATCTTTACACCACCATGAGAGTCAGTGTTGTAGTAGGGGGAGAGAGGGCACACTCAACTCCTAACACAGCGAGGATGATGGGAGATTTATAGCCCAGATGCAGGAATGGAGTGTGTGCATAGAAAATGGCCTAGTGATTTGAACTGCAAAATTATGCTCTCAAACATATTTAGATGCTTATTTTTCTGACATCATTAACCCATTCTCTCATGCTTTAAATATTTTGACATTTTGCTTTTGAGAATTAAATCTTTAGCCCTGTCCCCTTAAACTGTGTTTGTTTATGGTTTGTCTTTTTCCCATTTAGAAGCCCAGTTCCGCAGTCTCTGTTTTCCTGCTGGTTTGTTCTGGCCCCTTCTTCTGCGTTCTTAGTTTCACTGGTCTGTTCTTACAGCCGTCTGTTCTGTTCTAGTTGTCTGTCCCTACAGAAATACCTGTCTAGTTCTATTTACAGTGTAAACTAGGTCTGATACTATTTTTCAACTTTTGAAGTGTGCACTTACGCAAGTTTTGACAAATATATTATCTGTATAACCACTACAGTCAAGATATGGGTTATGCCATCTCCCAGCTAACCGCCCCTACCCTAACTGCCACTCTATCCTCCCCGGTAACTGGTAATCTTGTTACTAAGGAGTAGATTACATTTTCCTAATCTCCCTGCCCTCTCTTGTTTTGTTTTGCTTTTTCGAGACAGGGTCTCACTATGTAGTCCTGGCTGTCCTGAAACTCACAGCGCTCCCCTTGCCTCTGCCTCCAGAGTGCTGAGATTAAAGGTGTGCACCATTATGCCCAGTTTCTAGTGTCTTATGTAGCTGAAACTATATGGTACTGCTACTGTATGGATGTTCATGCTTCCTCGCGACCCCCATTCTTTTTTTTTTTATCCCTCCCCCTCCTCCCACCCTTCTCCCCCTCCTCCCACCCTTCTCCCCCTCCCCCCACTCCTCTCCCTCTCCCTCTCCAGTCCAAAGAGCAGTCAGGGTTCCCTGCCCTGTGGTAAGTCCTAGGTCCTCCCCTCTCCGTCCATTTCTAGGAAGGTGAACATCCAAACTGGCTAGGCTCCCACAAAGCCAGCACATTACATAGGTTCAAAACCCCGTGCCATTGTCCTTGGCTTCTCATCAGCCCTCTGTGTTCGCCATGCTCAGAGAGTCCAGTTTTATCCCATGCTTTTTCAGTCACAGTCCAGCTGGTCTTGGTGAGCTCCCAATAGATCAGCTCCACTGTCTCAGTGTGTGGGTGCACCCCTCGTGGTCCCGACTTCTTTGCTCATGTTCTCCCTCCTTCTGCTCCTCATTGGAACCTTGGGAGGCGACCCCCATTCTTATTTTGAAATTGTTACCAATTTCATACCAAATGGTGATGCCTTCGGGAGGTAACTGTCTGGTTGGTGGAGCTCTGAATGGACCTAACACCCTAATGAGATGACCTGGAGAGCTAGCTTGTTCTTGATCGTGTGAAAGCATGTTAGAAGTCGCTGTGTATGAAGGAGAAGGTGGCCCCTCCTTGGACACCAAATCTGTGAACTTTTGAACCTTTTAGACTGAAACCTTGAGAAAGTAACGTCTTTTGTTTATAAGCTACCAGCCCACAGTATTTTCTTAAAGCAGCTGTGCTGGATGGCTTTATGCCAACTTGACACTAGCTAAAGTCATCCGAGAGGAGGGACCTTCAGGGAAGGGAAACACTTCCATAATATCCAGCTGTAGGGCATTTTCTTAGTTAGTTATTGATGTGAGCCAGTTGTGAGTGATGCCACTCCTGGGCTGCTGGTCTTGGTTCTGTAAGAAAGCAGGCTGAGCAAGTCTGTTGAGCAAGCCAGTAAGCAGCGCCCCTCCATGACCTCTGCATCAGCTCCTGCCTCCAGGATCCCACCCTGTTTGAGTTCCTGTCCTGACTTCCTTCACTGATGAGCTATGGATGTGGAAGTGTAAGCCAGATGAACCATTTTCTCCCCAACTTGCGTTTTGTCATAGTGTTTCATTATAGCAATAAAAACCCAAACTAAGCTAGCAACCAAAATGGACGAAAAGAGGTGTGTTCTTGAAAGTGTATCTGGCTTATTTTGCTCAGCCCAGTATATTTTTAGATTTATTTTTGTGTATTAGTGTTTTTCCTATGTGCATGTCTATGTGCCACATTCCTACCTGGTGCTCGTGAAGCTTACAACAGGGCATTGAATGCCCTGCATTATTTCCCAGTCTTCAAAGGGTCGCCTCTGCCACATCCTCTGAGTCTGCATTCTTGTCTAGGGTGGTTTGTATTTCGTTTATTTTTATCACACACAAGAATCATTGTGCAGTCATTTGAACAGCATTTTGCAAGTGTCCCTCTTTCAAGTAGGGCCATTTGAGAGCATCATTACCCTGAAATCAGTGTCCCAGGCTTCAGGCAGTCTAAATGTCCCAGGGTATTGAGTTTCCACAATGAGTCAGTGTTCATACTGGTGATATCCCACTCTTGGGCTCCTGCCCCATCCTGCTCTGTGTAACTGGCTTTGGACTCAGTGCAAGCCAGGAACCAAAGCCCCAAGGCTGCTTCTACTTACCAAATGCTTAGTGGCTCTGAATGGAAGGGTGCTAGACATTGAGGAGACTCTCTTAGGGAACCCCCAAGCTATGTCCTGTTGAAGGGGTTAAACTCTCTCTCTTACCACTGAATTTAGGTTTCAGTTCTCTGAGAAGGGCAAAACAGGTGTCTCTCTCAACAAAGGGCTGTTTATGCACAATACCCTTACATTCAGGGACAAGAGAGAGAACAAACACAGGGCCCAAGTCAGCCTCACAATGTCTCTACCACTGGGTCATTGCCCAGTTTCTTGTTCACCGTAAATCCTGCACAGAGAAGTTTAGAGATCAAGTCGGGGTCACATGCTTGTGACCTTTCTTAAACCCTTTCTGATTCCTCATGATGCCTGGTTAATTGTCAATTTGACAAGATTTAAAATTAGCGGAGGAGATGTGTCCCTAGACCTGTCTGTGAAGGTATGGATAACGAGAATTAACTGAAGGGAGAGACTGTCTTCAAAATGAGTGGCTGCTTCCAACTGGCTATCAAGTAAAAGCAGTGTCCCCTGGCTGTCCGTCCTTCTTCTTGAATGTGGGTCTACAGCTGCTGCCGCCATCTGACCTCTGTTTCTTTGGCCTGAACATCACTGGCTCTCCAGGCCTCCAGCAATAGGTTGGGACTGCTTAGGCATGCAGCTTTGTGAACTGAGCAGCGAAGGCCTCTCTGTCACTCCAACATGTGGACAGCCTTTGTGACTACCCAGCCCACTGTGTAAGGCAGTCTAAGAAACCCCTTTACACATACACACAGATCTTGTTCTCCAGGGACTACTGCTGAGCTTACTCTCCTTTACACACACACACACACACACACACACACACACACACACACATCTTGTTCCCTGAGAACCCAGACAAGCTTACTCCTCATTGTCCTTAGAATTAGTCCAAGCCGGGTGGTGGTGGCACACTCCCTTAATCCCAGCACTCAGGAGGCAGAGGCAGGCAGATCTCAGTGAGTTTGAGGCTAGCCTGTTTTACAAAGTCAGTTCTAGAACAACTAGAGCACAGAGAAACCTATCTCAAACAAACAAACAAACAAATCAAAAAGAATCAGCCCAAACCCCTCTGCTGGCTCCAGGACCCCAAAGGTGAGTTTACCGGTTATTATTAATACTCCCAGTTCTTCCCCCTCCCCCGACCTCCACAGAAAAGACTTTAGCCCCCCTTAAGCTACAGGCTCTGTCCTTGGAGTACCTGATTCTGTCTGCTGCCCTCCTCACCCCAGGCCGGCAGCCCAGCAAACAGTCCCCAAGCTCAGATACTCAGGAAAAGGGAAAGTTCTGCTCAGCCATGGAGCCTGCTTTATGCACAGACACTGTGTTCTCTGTTTTCAGGGGGCAAAAGTCAGTGGTTGAAGTGCCACTGGACTAAGCCTTGGTCTTTGTCCTACTGGGCAGATACTGGGCTAAGCGTAGGGCAATCAGTAGAACCAGCCTCTCCTCTAGATCTCAAAAACGTGTGGGGTCCTCTGCATCTAAGTCCCAGAAGTGCTGTCCCTTTTCCTTTTCCCAGAGCCACCAGTAAACAAACAGAAAACATCTGAACAGAGGGGACAGAAAGAGACAAACATAAAGTACATGGCAGCTGGCAAAGCGAGCAGAGGCCAGAATTTGGCTACTAAGTCACAGTCTTGTATCACCACTGTTTATTAGACAGGAATCAGCTTTTCAACACACGTCATGCTCACCAGGCCCCACCCCACAGGAAGGCTTCGGGGGTTAAGGTAGGAAGGGAGAAGTTGCAACCAGCAGGCCTAGTGCCCAGGAATCCGAGCTATAGAGTATTCTACTGCCACTCCCAAAATGACCCCTACAAGGGGAGGAAGCCCAGATAAATAGTCAATAAATAACCAAGGCTGCTTTTTCTTTCCCCTGGGAACTCAGACAGCCACTGGCTGGGAACCAGGGACTGTGCAGGGCTCTGTCCTAGCTCTGGGAACTCAGGCAAGAATGTAAAATCCAAAGTCACCCTCTCAGAGGGGTGAGGGCATGGGCTGGAGGAGTCCCCTGGGGTCGCCCCCCCCCCCCCCGTGGTCTGTATCCTCTGTCTTCCACTGTGCCTGGCACAGAGCCAATGAGCTTGGGAACAGAGGGTCTCAGAAGCCAGGGAGGCACAGCCAATAGTAGCCCACAAACATTACCTTCTTGTCTGTCCCCCAATCCTAACTCCAGATTATTCCAATGCTCCTGGGACCAGCACTGGGATCTGCTCCACCACAACCCAATCAAGTGTAGCCTCCTGGAATGGCTGCACCCCAACTGAGCGGTTCTGGGGAGTGGGTGAGCTTATCTACAGAGGGAGAGGAAAGTGACTAGAACATTCCAAAGACACCACCTCCCTCCCATGCAGAGTACTTCACTGCTACAAAAGACTATATTTTCTATCTTGACCCAAAGTGCAGGATGGGGATTTGGTGTGACTATTTCTTTAAGATACCAACACCTCCACGTTGTCACATCTAGAAGTGTTTGAAACCTACAGAATAACCCACACCAGAGCTGGAGAAGGCCTGTGATGCCAATCCCGTATTTCACAAGGTACAAAGGTTCGAGTATCCTGGGCCACAAGTCTCTTCTACACAAAGGCGTATGTCCTTTCTGGGACTGGGTTGAGTCCTGGCTTCTGCTCTCAGGGTGAAAACAGACCCCCAGCATGTCCAGATTCTCAGCCAGGATCTGCTTGGAAGAGAGAGAAAACTGCCAAGTGTGGGGATTTAAGCACAGGTTGGCCCAACTGAGCCAAGGCTTTCCCAAATGGAGCCCCCCAATGGCTGGGAAGTTGAAACCAGGCTGGTTCTGGGGTGTGGATCCCACAACACTGGCAGGGAGAGCACAGAAAGGTGGACTGATGGGCGGGGGCAATGGGAATGCAGGGTCTCCAGGGGTATCAAGGCTGGGCCATCCACAGCAGCGCACCTGAAAAGCATATCACATTAAGGATCACCACCATCATCCCTTCATCTGCCCCTCTGGCTGGAAATCTCCCTCAAGTCAACTCCTTTCCTTACCTGGACCAGTTCACCCTCACCTCCCTCTGTCCAAGCTGGTTTCTTATTACCCATGGCCAACCTCACCTGACCAACTTACAGATGGGTCTCATCCACACCCGTCCCTACCTGTGGTCTGGCAGTCCACAGCTGAGGCTGTATGTTTGCACCTCAGGAAGAAGCTTACTGAGGACAGGGACCAGGAACCCCAGCCTCCATCCCTCTTAGAGGCTAGCATAGTCTTTCATTTCCCTTGCTAAACAAACTAGTTCCTGAGTCCAGAGGAAGCCCCTGTGATGGTCCTGATCCCCTTCCTTCCCACGCAGGCCCCTCAGTTCACCCTCAAGTGAGTTCCCTCAGTACCTGGGGCCAGAAGCCGGCTGGTCACTCTCATGGTCACTCCCACAGGAAGCGCACGTACCAGATGGTCTCATTCTTCAGCTGTGGCCCAAACAGGGGGTTTAGCTGGGCCAAGATGGCGATGAGCCAGCTGCCAAGGAGAGCAGAGTGAGGGGACTGGGCACAGATGGGACCCATCTCACATACCAAGGGGAACTTGACTCCTCTCTTTCAAAGAGCATGCAGCTAATCCAACACGTGTCCTGGCTGGCACGGGGAATTGGGCTTAGGATTTGTGGGTTTCGATGTGAGATGATTTGATTTTCTGTAAGTATGTAAGGTCCCTGAGCTGGTCCCCAGGTGAGGGTTCCTTGGGGGGCTTTGGGAGCCACCCTAGCACTGCCACAAACCTCTGCTGCCCCCTAGTGGCTATACATTGGCTCTAGTCCAATCACCTAGGCATTCCTTAGTATGATGCCCTGATTTTTACGTCGCTTGCCGAGTCTAGTGTGGAGCACAAAAGCTGTGTTTGAACAACCTGTCTGGAGGATTCTGGTGCCCACACAGGAGCAGACACTACTGAGCTGGCCCAACTCATGTATCTCACAGCTCAGCTGGGGCAACACAAAGCCCATGCAATTGTCACCTGGGAGGCAGAGGTGACTAGTGGTCACCACAGCCCCCGGCTCTTTGGGAAGGCATACTCACAAGAGGTAACAGCAGACAGCAGTGGCTACCAGCATGGTGATGATCACCCTGTAACAGCAGAAAGGAAAAGGCAGCCTTGGTACACAGGGCTAGAGAAAGAGCTCCCTGTGACAGCCTTCCTGGGGCTGAGATCCGTTCTGAGTAAGAATTACAAGATGAAGCATGAGACCACCAAAGGTCATCTACATCCAAGGTGTGTTGTAAATCTCTTCCTTCCCCTCTCTTCTCTGTCAGCAAACATGTCCCCATCTCAATGCTGAAGAAGGCTTTGCTCAAGCTCCTCTTGTGGCAACCCACCATAGACTGGCCTCAGAATTCATTCAGCAACGTCAAAGAAAAGGACAGATCAGAAGATAGGGCAAGCAGCAAGGAGGCTGGGCTAGACTATTATAAAGAAAACAGCGTTTTGTACCCACTCAGAGAAGACCAACGATAGAGGCTTCCAACACAGCTGGAGACAGATGTGCTGGACAAGAAGGAGTTCCCCAAGACTTTCGGAAGAGATGACACTGGTGTGCCTAGAGTCGTGCAGCCCAGGTTAAATCTTTTTTAAGATGTATTTTTATTTTTACTTACATATGTGTGTATCGGTATGTGGCTATGTGAACATGTATGCCGGTGCCCCAAAGGCCAGAGAGGGCCTCAGAGCTCCTGGAGCTGTAGTTAAGACAGTTGTGAGTCCCCTAATGTGGGTGCCAAACTTTGGTCCTCTGGAAGAGGAGGGTCTCTGCTGAGCCATCTCTCCAGCTGCCTTCAGATGTGCAGGAATAAAGACAACGCCCATCTATGCCTAATCCAGGGCAGAGCCCAAGGACTTCAAGGTGGCTGAAGAGGTAGTGCCCGATCCTTCCTTTAGCATCAGGAGACAGCTCTGACCACTCCTGGCTGTGCACTGGGCAGTCAGTGCTGCGACAAAGGACCAGGGGCCAAAATGTGAGGGTGGACTGAGAGGCTAACCAGAGGAGGGACTGGTGAACGGTGCAGAAATCTGCTAGGAGCCTTCCAAAAATGAAGGGAGCTGAAATCATTCAGTATACACAATGTGCCCAGAGGGCAACCCTCACAACAGCCTTACAAAGCAGGTATTGCCACCGTCCCCATCTTCCTCAGTGAGGAAACTGAGACTTGGTATTTGCCCAGCGTCACAGAGCTAGCAAGGATGGAGCATTAGTGCCCATAGGTGGCTTAACCTACTGCGCTGGTGTGTGTGTGTGTGTGTGTGTGTGTGTGTGTGTGTGTGTTTGATCACATTCAAACGTCCCCTGACTTCTGAGTCTACCCTTTCACCAGGTCCTCCGGCCTGTTTCCTGGCTGCCTCGGTCCAGGTACAGATCTGGAAGAGGTGATGGAGAGGTGTTCCAGTGTGGTCATGAGCTGCAGGGTAGAGAGCGGGAGCCCCTGGGTAAAGAGGCTAGCCTAGTCAGGGCACAGGGAGGGTCCGCAGGGAATCGAGGCCTGCTCGTCTTTCTTACCCGCGGTTGGGTCCTTTAGGCACGAACCAGGGCCCAGCGATGCCGATGAGGCCCCAGAACGTGGTGAAGATGATGACTGGCAGGGCAAAGGAGTGTGCTGTCATGGCTGGGTGCGTGATGCTCTGGTGGGATGGTGGGTCGAGCGGCGGACTCTCCTAGCAGGTGCACGTCCTGGAAGAGGGCTGTGAGCATGCGCAACGGGATCCCAGCGGCGCAGGCTCTGGACCAAGCGAATCTGCGCTCGCGCATCTCTGAACGGGCCTGCACACCAGCTGTCACTCAGGGCCAAAGGCGGGGCTTCCGAGGAGTCCTTTCCTTGATTGGCTGAGTAGGATTTGCCCCGTCGCAGGTGGTTCCAGGATTGGGTTTGCATTTTTCCTTTTTTATTCCCACCAGGACGTAGTGGGTCAGGCGTTGTGCTCTGGCAGCCCCGGGTGTCTGGGGACAAGGGGACTGGGTAGGAGGAGACCCGAATCGCATCGGAGGACTGCGCAGGGATCATATGGGCTTCTACTAAGGAAGTTCGGGTAGCTAAGAGTCCACAGACTTGGCCTCCCATCTTTCACCTAATACCACATTGCCTTCAGTCGCAAGCTCACGGGAAACATCTAGCAGCTCAAAACTCAATAGTTTCTTCAGCAGAACTGGAAAGGTCCTCCTTGGGCTTTTTGGTCCCATATCTTCCATATCTCCCCTCTTTTGTGGAGAGCAATGGTATCTTTTGGTCTCCACCCTCTGTAGAGATCCTTTCTATAGAGAACAGTGATTCCTGGAGACAACTTTGGTAGTCGGTTCTGCCGCTTGCAGCTGACCAGGACTGCAAACATTCCGGGAAGCCAGTGGTTGAATAGCATGGGAAATGCCCCCCCCCCACACACACATACACACATGCGCACACACAGTGTATGCAGACGACAAGTGTCTGTCCTTGAACTTGCTTCTGCCAGTGACGTGCTCCTAGTTATCCAGAGCAGGGGCAGGTCACGTCCACCTCCCCTAGTTAAGATAGTTTTATTCATCTTGTCAAACTTCCTGCAAGTCGGAGGTGAAGAGGGGCGGTATACAAAGACCTCAGGTGTAAACATCTAAGCTAGCTGAGGTGTCATGTGATAAAAGACTACAGCTTGGACTTGTTTAAAAGCCTTGTTCCTGCCCAGGGTGATGACACGTGCCTGTAACTGCAGCAAGGTGAAGCCACTGTCTTGTCTCCCTTCTCCCGTGGAGGTTTTGGGTTGACATTGGCTATGCTGGGTACCGTGCTGTGGTTCTTATCGAGTTGTCCTCTGCCCTCCACACATGCACCGAGGAATGTGTGCCTCATACAAACACGGACATCACACACTCAAAGACAATGATTTTAAAAATGTTTCCAAATCCTCTCTGGGAAGCAATAGGAAGCCGAGCCTCAGTACCACACACTGTAAGACCTGTCACACAATACTTTGTAGATACAGGCGGTGGTAGGTGGGGGGTGGGCAACAATCTTGGATGTCTGTCTTTTCCAGTAAGGCCTTGTGATACTCAAACACACGGCCATGTGCTGCTCAGCCAAGGCAGAGGAGCTGGGGAACTTAGTGGCTGAGAGGAAGAAGGTGAAGGCAGTGGTCCATTGCTTTCATGGTCTCTTTCTTGCACCCCAGTGGGGAAACAAAGACCTAGACTAGAACAGGTGTCTTTTCACCAACTGAGCCTTTCCCACACACCTACCCCAACCCCGAATGTGCAGAAGTCTCTGGAAGCGGAGAGGTGTGACACTGTTTATTCAGCTTCTGGCATGCCTGATGTTGCCCTTTAGGTTATTTTAATAACCTTCTTCATTGTGAAGGCCTGGGGCATCTCTGGAGTCCTCTTAACTTTCCCTACTGATGTGGGCCCCGTACCTTTCAATAGGGACAAGTCAGGCTTCAGGATTGATGTAGATTCATGTGCACATGTGCGTTCAAGACCAGCTTGGCTGTTTCCCCAGTGGTGTGTGCCGCTACTGCAAAGCAGAGGTGGCCTGCAGATTTGAGAGAGAAGATAAGCTCTGAGCAGAGGACTCAGCCTGGGCTGGAGCCTCTCCTCAGTGAGGTGAACCTTGAACCCACTCGACCTCCTGTGCAGAGCGCTCTGCTCCACTAAACCTTGTTGAGGCCCAGCCTCTGATCAGGCCACTGATAGACTATCTTCCCTCTACAGTGTCTACAGTGGAGTTCAGGTGATCTATATGGAACACAGCAAGACTCAGGACTCTCTCTCTCTCTCTCTCTCTCTCTCTCTTTCTCTCTCTCTCTCTGATTCAGGACTCTTGAGGTCAGCCATTACTGAAGGTTCACTGTCCAGGCGAGAGCTGGAGGGGGAGCCAGATCATCGCAGAGGGCAGTTGTGCAGCAGCTGGGGCCAGGGCTTCCGTTTCTCTGGGAGCCATCGCCAAGCCCCTGAACACTCAGCCTATCTCCTGCAAACCTACACTGCTGGCTTTTTGCTTATCTTACTGTAAGTTCAGATAGAAAAGATAGCACAGAAGGCCTTTCGAGAAAATTGCAGACAGCCAAGAGCCAACACGCTGGTGCTACTCTGTCCATGACTCTGACATTTTTTCACAGATCATGTTTTCTGAATTCTCTGTGGCAAGTACCCAAGCTGTGGTCTAGTAGTGGCTGCAGCAGGGCGGGGGTGGGGTGGGGTGGGGTGGGGATTAAAGTGCAGCTGGAACACAGACTCCCTGAGCAAGGACATTTATAGACCTGTTAATTTTCTCATATGATAAAATACCTGAGAGAATAAAAGGAGGGAAGGAGGGTGGAGGGAGAAAGGAAGGAGGGAAGAGGGAAGGAGGAAGGAAGGGAGGAAGGAAGGAAGGAAGGAAGGAGGAAGGAGGGAAGGAGGGTGGAGGGAGAAAGGAAGGAGGGAGGGAGGAGGGAGGGAAGAAGGAAGGGAGAAAGGAAGGAGGGAGGGAGGGAGGAAGAAAGGAGGAAGGGGAAGGAGAGGGAAGGCGGGTGGAGGGAGGAAGGAAGGAGGGAGGGGGAAGGAGGGTGGAGGGAGGAAGAAAGGAGGAAGAAAGGGAGAAAGAAAGGAGGGAGGGGGAGTGAGGGAGGGTGGAGGGAGGAAGGGAGGAAGGAAGGAGGGAGGGAGGAGAAAGGAGGAAGGAAGGGTCTATTTGGGTTCACATTTCTCCAGGATGGGGAAGACACAGTGGCAGGATCATGGGGCAGCTGGTCTCTCTGCATCCATAGGAAAGAGATGAATGCTGGGACTCAGCTTGCTTTATGTTCATTTCAGGCTGGGATTCCTAACCCACAGGATGGTGCTACCTGATGGAGGAAGGTCATTGGTTAAAAAATAAAGAAACTGCCTTGGCCCATTTTATTGGTGAGAACATAGGTGGGTGGAGTTAACAGAACAGAATGCTGGGAGGAAGAGGAAGTGAGCTCAGAGACGATACCATGCTCCCCTCTCTGGGGAAGACGCGATAGCTCTGCTCTCTGAGGCACACGTGATGAAGCTCCGACCCAGGATGGACGTAGGCTAGAATCTTCCCGGTAAGACTGGTGCTACACAGTTTATTAGAGATGGGTTGATCGGGATATCAGAATTAGCCAGTAAGGGTTAGAGCTAATGGGCCAAGCAGTGTTTAAAAGAATACAGTGTCCATGTAATTATTTCGGGGCATAAGCTAGCAGGCGGCCGGGGTGCTGGGGACGCAGCCCCACCGCTCCTATTACAACAACTACCCATATTTAAGTTGGGTCTTCCAGCTCAATTAAACCAATATAGACATGCGCAGAGATTTGTTTCCTAGGAGACTCTAGACCAAGCTGACAGAATTATGTATCACACTCTACAAGATGGTAATGACAGCAGGGAGTATTAGCCCTCTGCCCTCCAGAACTTTGGTGTTTTGTTTTGTTTGAATCGTTAAAAAATTTTTTATTAATTATGTATACAGTACTCTGCCTGCATGTCTGCTGGAGGAGAGCTCCAGATCTCATTACAGATGGTTGTGAGCCACCGTGTGGTTACTGGAAGAGCAGCCAGTGCTCTTAACTTCTGAGCCATCTCTTCAGCCCCAACCTTGGTGTTCTTAGCACCATGAGGTCACTTCTGTGAGTCAGGGTGCTGAGCCACACTTTTCTGTGCCATCTTCAGGATGCTGCTTCTTCCTGAAGAGGTCCTGTGACTACAGGAAGGGGATGCTAAAGAAAAGTGTCTGTGTTACCCTGGTGAGATCACAGTTGCACTGACTTCTCACAGAGCTTGACAGCCATCCTAGAGAAGCGTCTAGATAATCATAGAGGCAACTAATGTCTCTAATGATTCTGGGGGTTGAAAGTCGCCAGGCCAAACTTGACCCTGGGTTCCTTAGGACGTGGGAAAAGTTGGTCATCCCGAGCTACTATGATAAGAATTTCAAGAGCTACACAGATGTGGCCACCGAGACACATCCCAGGAGAGAGGATCTTATGCGTTTCCATGTGGCAGAGGCCTTCCATCTAATCCAAAGGGACCTCTGAAAGCACAGGAAGCTCTAGAAATATGGGGTGTACATACCCAAAACACAGGTAGTATCTCCTCTCCCCCTAGTCCCATGGAGCCTGAGTGTGGACCAGGACCACACGAAACAAACTACTCTGGGAGGCCTCTGTCCCCCAAATGTGGGCAGCATTATAGTTATGGCAGATGCCTAGTCCCCATGCAGAGCTACGAACCATAAAGCACTTCTGTTGCAGTAATTCCTCTTGTGCTGTTTGAGACACAGTCTACATAGCCCAAGTTAGCCTTCAACTCTCTTACCTCATGCAGCCTTCAGCGTCTGTGATTACAGGCATGTATCATCATGCCTCACTCTTTCTGTCATACTAGGGGCAGATGGGCTCTAATCAGATGCATATCTGCACAGGGGCCTCTGGCAGCCGTCTTGTTGATGGAAAAGGGCTAAAGGCATCCATTCTTCGGGGCACCTCAGTACCTTTGGGTGCCGAGGGTGCCAAGAGTTATGGACAGAGGCAACATTCAAAGAGCCGAGAGGCCCAGCAGCTGTACTAACACAGGAAAGTCTTCCGGTGTCTGAAGATTGTGTTGACCCATGGGGAGACCCATACTGAAGAGGGTCTGCCCTGGAGCAACAGGGGCAATGACACTTGCAAGGTTCAGGGTAGCAGGCAGCTGCACCCTGGGTCTCCCCCACACTGGGAGAAAGCAGAGGCAGAGCAGGCCCCAGGTCTCTGCCT